CTACATTGATTTACATGATACAAAAAAATAGATATAAATATGGAGAGAGTACAGGGTGCCCATAATAACCATTAAGGGCTAAAAAGATAGGTCAGCCTTACTAAGGTTATTAATGAATGTTTATGTCAGTAAAGGGTCAGGGATCACAAACCACACACAGCTACACAAAACATTCACAAAAGAAAAAAAACTAGTGGAAAAGGAAAGACAGCAAAAGATTGACCTGATGGGCATCCTTTCCCAAGAAATAACTTGTAGATATCATATGGATGAAGACTCCATAGTATCAATGGCTTCCAACGAAAGTGCATTTTCATTTGCAACCTTAATTAAATTATATTACAAAGCATAAAATAAATAAGCCTAAATAAATAAATATCATTAAATAAATAACAATATTGATCCTTCTCCTCAAATGTGAAATATAAGTATGGCGATTTTTACACCGAGTCTACACTGTACATGTATTCAATAAGGAGAGTGATAATGTATAATTGTCACCTAGCCTGGTGATCTGGGGCCATTCAAAGGATGTTATTCAGTAACATCCACTAGAACGTCCCTTACGCCGCGGAGCAAGAAGAGGCTTGAAACTTCAAAACATCCTTTAAACGGAGACAGTGACATCTTCTTGTTTGAATCAATCGAGGGATGATGGAAAAAGCAAGACAAGACCTCGAAACAAACATCAGATCATTAGACAATTCAGTATACGATCGAAGCAGAAGCATACATTATGCACCACGGGACGAGCGTGACGTCATACGTTTACGAAATCCGAGCGAAGATAAAAGGCCTTTTGACGGATGTTGACGAGTGCTGACTTTATTTTTCTTTCACCGTTTTTATGGACCGGACAAAGCTCTATGAATAAAAAACAAATAACAACAAGTAAGCCCGAGAAGGTTTTGCAGGCTGTTCAAATCAGGAAATGTTTTGAAACAACAGTTTAGACAATTTCTTAATGTGTAATTTATCTTGTTTTGTTCTTGCTATGTTTAGAGAGGAGCTGTTCAACAGGCCTCAACTCTAAGCTACACTAGATTATACTGAACGTGCTGCGTTCTGACTTGTGACGGATGAGGATTAACCTGAGATCAGGCTCTATTTTCGTTTCGCTTTGAAAATTACATTCCGGCGGGCGTGGCGAAACGAAAAGAGAGGCCCAATTTTAGCGCTGACCGTTGGAGAGAATGTATGAGAACCGCTAAAATTGGGCCTGATCTCTCTCAGGTTATATGAGGATCGAAGCTTGTGCAGCAAAATTATTTAAAAAGCAATGACGTTCTTGCTGATTTTTAGCGTCGCCTCTTGTAGTACCGTTGTGCTCGTTGTACTGTTTTGTGTAAAGTACTCAGTTCGCGGTGTGTGGGAGTAAGTATAAGATTTATTGATTCTTTTTAATGATATGCTTTTTATTGAAAAAATTGGCCCTCGTCAGTTTCTTTGGTGGACTGACATTTAAAGAGGGATCCCGGATTTAGAAGGCCTAGCTTAACATAGGTTGCCTAGGTCCATGAGCATTTCGTGAATGAAAGTAGTGACTGTATCGATACGTCTTTCTTGTTTTCTCCTTTAGAAAGATTGTAATAGAAAGTTTGTGGTATTGTACCAGTGACAACATGTCTACACCTAATTGCACTAGTGTTGTCATACAAAAAAATCGAACGAGAGAGCAAAGACGAAAAAAGGGTAAAGTCCAATAGGAATTAATTAGCCATGCGTGCAAATCAGTACGTTTTACCATTTTGATCATCCCGAAAACACTTTTGCAGTACGGTATAATACTTCAATTTGACATTAATTGAGTCAAGAGAAGGTTAATTAAGTTTTCTGCTTCATTGTTTCGCCAGACCAGATGCCGAACAGAGGCTGGTAACCGAGCCTAGCAATAAGCGCGCCTAATTTAACTTATTCCTATCATTTCACCTGTTTTTCAATTTCCTTTCTTACATTTTCTTAAGACAATGTTTTGGTAATTAGGTCATATGTTGCCAGTGATTAGGAACAAAGTAGGATGAAACCATTAAATCTGACAACTTTTGCGATTCAAGCAATATCAGTGGAAAAGAAACTCGTTTCTTGGCTGATTTGTCAAGTAGTGACCGAATTATTGTAAGTTTTTGTGCATAAATCTCATAAATCATCTTATAATCATCATCTCAAAATCTCATGATGATGTCATAGCGTTTTGTCTTCATTCAATAAGCACATGCTTAGCCAGCATCGGCATTCAAAATGAAAAACCACATCCAGAAAAGCGTTTCGGCAAAGTTCCCAGCAAGACTTTCTCATCTTTTATTTAGTTACCAGCCAGCAAATTCTTAGCCTGAGGAGCGGATAATTTGAGGAGCGGATCCGTTGGGTACTCCTACTTAGTACTCTTTAGTTGGTCATTTATTTATATCCATATGCATATATTCTATCTTTTTAATGTAATAATGATCATATACTAATATAACATACATAAGCTCCTATGTAAAATGTACTCTTTTAATCGGATTAAGTCTGTTTCCTTAAAACAAAACGGCTCATTTCCCATTTTTGTAGATAAATGTCCTTATGATCTATTTTAGTTTTCTCTGCAGAAACTTCGACCTGCAAGAGTATTTCTCGCCCTGGCGGGTGTGGGGGGGGGGGGGAACTCGATACATCCTTGGGTGGGGAAGTGCGGCCCGGCCCTCATACCCTGACCCTGTTTAAGACAAAAATCGCTGATTTTCTTACCCTGTTTAAGACAGAATTCCGATTTTTGATACCCAGTTTAAGACATTTCACCCGAAACCAAAAAAAAAATTTTTGCTGAAGTTTAGTTCGTAGAACATAGGCGCAGGCTGTTTATCGTCCAAGAAAAGATACCCTCTTTAAGACTAGACTGCGAGCAGTCCCTTATTTTTCCTTGCAAAGTTACTGCACGCGAGCGGCGAGGCCGCCTGTCGCGAGAAACGAGGGCGTAAGCCCGAGAAGAAAAAATAAGAGACACTTTTTTTTTCTGAGGGAGGGGGGACGTCTGTACACAGGCTTTCTTTTTTCGTCTCGTCCGGACGGATTTTAAGAGAAAAGGCGGACTGCAAGCAGTCTAGTTTAAGACAAAAATTGATAAAATCGATACCCTGATTAAGACAAAAATCTCGAAAAACATACCCTGGCTGGCCGCACGTCCCCATTAAGCCCTTATAAGGGAGTAGCCCCCCTGGGATTTCTCGACATAATGAAGAGTTCTTGGCTTCTGTTAGTCATGTTTACAATGCAGAGCAACTGAGATCCGACCTCGGCGTTACTTGTTTTAATTATTAAAAAAAAAAAAATTCCACGATCTCAATTACTTTAATCTTACTCACCATCTATCCAATATTTCTTTCTCAGTTAAACGAGCAGCTTTTTGCTATTTCAAAAATCCATTAATTCATGACAATCGCTGTCATTGTGCTAATGGTGACATTTCGTTTCTCTTTTCCCATCCCCACAGTAGTAGTTAACTCTGTTAAATTGCAAACTTAAGTGGCGCTTACAAGTTCAATTGATAAAATAAATATACTAGCTCATCTAGGTGAACATACACGACTCGTCTACCATAACTCGGGGGCGCCCAACGAGAATATGGCTCAAAACCACTTAAACATGGCATTGTTAAACGTATTTTAGTATTCAAACGGTAGATATAGTCATATTTTTATTCCCTAAAAATTTTCATCTGTTCGGATTTCCTCTGAAATTCCAGTGATCCGAAAATTATAGGGATTAAAACTTACCTTTTCGAAAATTTCAGCCAGAAAAAAGGCTCTCGAAAATTCTAGATGACCTTTTTATGGTAAAAATCCGTTACAAATGGGCAATTATTCCAATTATTAGATGTTCGAAATGGAAAAGGAGAAGCAGGCAAGCAAGAAATTTTACAACAAATGAAACATAATCGCCATATCATTTGAGACAACACAACTGTATGGGCTGGTGAGTCGGATCTGTTTACATTCTGTTAAACGGGATATCACAAAAGGCGGGATAATTATATAATAAATAATAACATGGTCTTAGCTTCCATTGCATGCCTCTGGCATCCAAGTTTCACTGTGTTTTTCAGTTCATCGAGTCTCTTGATTTATTACTAGGACAAGTCCAGTTTGAATATCAAATAATACACTTTTTCCTTTTCTTTTTCATCGGTAGCACTTCCATAAAGATATGATTTTTAAACTATCAGGGGGAAACCGGAGCACCCGGAGAAAAACCCCCTCTACTAGTTATGCTTTCATGATATATAGTCTAACAGATTAAATATATAAATATACTTTTCTCGGTGAACATACACGACTCGATTACCATAGCTCAAAGTAAGCATGACTTTCAAGTTGTTTGTCCACTCGAAAATATTTCCTAATCGTTTCAAATCCAAATAGTTGCCTATACCGTCTCATAGTTCACAATTAATTCCGTCATTACAAGTCATTGTCAACTTCTGCATGTTTCTTCTTTTTAGTAATTTTTTTTGTTTCCTCCTTGTTTCATTCTTCGTAAAAATATTCTTTCTAAACAGAATTACGTATGAAGTTTTTTAAAACTCCTAATGGTGAGATAACCCACATATAAAAACTACCTGTGTTAGAACTTAACCAGGTGAGACTATACGTCTATAAAATAGACAGAGTCAGTATTATATCCGTATACAACGTCCTAAATAGAAGAATGCATGCCAGATCGAGGTTAATTGTTGCCCGAGTTCCTCGTCCTTCCCTCCCCAGTCTCCCGCTACCTTCTCTGCCTCCAGAGTCTAAAAACCTGATTTTTTTCTGTAACCCAAACTAATTAAGGAAAGGTGCTATATCAAGAGAGGATCCTCGGAGCGAGATTGAAACGTTGCGCTCATTTGAACCAGTGTTAGCATCAACTTTAACCCGCGTAAGCCTTCTCTATCCTGAGTCTCGTGCCGTTTTCCTCGCTCTCGCTTTGTTCAGTGATGTTTCGATGATCTGAAACATTGGAGTAGACTTCTAAAATCGGTGTTATAAATCCGTCGTATCGACTATGACCTTCAGAAACATAGTATCGTCTCGGACGTAGGCATGGTCGTTTAATTCCGACAAAGGACAGAATGTAGGGCACCCACTAGCGATGTTTGTTTCTCTTCTTGGTCTCTGGAAGGATGAGCTGTTTGGATCAGGTCTGAAGGAGTCGATCACGTGTTCTATGTTATTCTGATCCAGCAGCATGAACGTAACCTTCTGTCTGAATGGCCAGCGGAGTAACGCATCGTACTCACCACGCATGACAACAAAGAATACCGAGATGTGTGTCCCTCTTCCAATACCATCACCATTCAAGTAGATGCGCGCGCACATCTTGTATCCATAGCGACTGGTAAAGAAGCATGGGCTATAAAATGATGTCTGTTGCCCGGAGACGGCGTCTTGGCGTTTTTTAGCGAACTCGGTGATTTTCCAAAGCAAGATTCCATCGTGACTGGAGACTTCCTGCTGCCTCACAGATTCGTCCAAATCTGTCAGCATAACATTACGAAGTGCTAGTGAGTGACTCATGGACTCGAACTGTCTTTGTAGTCGATCAGTTGTTCCATTCGAAGACTCCTGTTGCCTGGCTGCGGTAGACACCTTTCTCTGAAGTTCTTCGCTTAATCTGTTTGCTTCAACGAGCAAAAGCTCGAGATTGGCCGTCTTTCCTTCTTCTGTAGTTAACCTCTGTAAAAGCTCCTTGACAAACGTTGAATCAAATGCTGATGCTGAGTTTGAGCTATTCTGTCTAGAACTTTCCAGCTGCCTTATTCTCTCTTCTTGTTGTGCCAGTTTTGATTTTAAGTCTTCATTCTCTTTCAGCGTATTCTCAACTTGTTTAGCATAGCGTTCCAGATCTTTCTGTTTTGGTAGATTTACGCCATTCATCGACAATTGACCAGATTCGCGCATAGTCCTACCAACCATCGAGAAGAGCTGCATTGCGGTTTGAAAAAGGAGCATCAGATGACCGGAAGCACTGTCCTCTTCATGCTTCCGTCTTTCTTGCAGTTTCATAGTCTAAAGAAAACGAAAACGACATAGTTTATTAAGGCTGAGAGTCGTTAATAAACACGCAGCCCACCCACAGATTACCGAATGATTGCTGACTTGGAGAATACAATCAATCAAACGTCAAGTGGATTCAATAGTGGCTCATGCCACCTTGATCACCACTCAGGTTTGAGCTTTCTGGAGACGTCTTTTCTTCTCTTACCTGCACAATCTAAGGATCCTTCAGTATGAGTATTCCCTAGTAGACTCCCCCACCCCCCCACTACGCACCATTCTTGTTTACGAACAAGTAGTCTGATCAACCTCTGGGGAGAGGGAGAGGGAAAATCGTGGCATCTCCTTACGTGTGCTGACCATTCACGAAAAAACCTACCCGTTTAACGTTGGCCCCCTTAATATGCAATCCCCTCCTAACTTAAGTAATCTTAAGTATTTGCATAGCTTAGTCTCACGGCATCCAATTTGCGTCCATGGACAACTTGATTGTATTTCTTCACAGTCTCCATTTACCAGATCAATATGGGCACGTATCTGAGTAAGAAAGATAGACGCCAACATCAAGTCTCAAACATCTTATTCCAGTGTTACTGTCTAGGGGCTAGCTGGTAACAACCCGTTTACACATTTACGCGTGCGTTGCAGAACAAATTTAAATCTGGAATCATTATTTCGAGGAGTGTGTAAAAAAAGCAGAACCCCAGAAAGAAGAAAACTTCTCGAAGCATAACTCACCTGAGAACGAGGTATGTCCTTTCTCCCACATTCTGTGCAAGTCACGGGGACGGAGGGACACTGAGATTCTTGATGTTCCTGTGCATAATGAATTATTAATTAATTTAACAATTAATTATTAGTCATCAAGTTAGAGATCGCTGTGAGCATGCTCTCCGGGCCTACCAGGATTTGAATGGAGACCAGTAATGTAGGTAGAAAGCTCTCATGTTTATGAGACCTTTTACCACCACCGATTTCTGACGATTTGAGACTGTAGTAGCTTGGAGGCATGAAATTTGCAAAGAGTCAATGAGCGTCAGAAATTTATCGTTGGAAAGGAAGATGTAAAAGTACGTTAAATATAAATTACTTCAGGATCCTGTTCCAAATGACGACAACTTAAAGGTAAACAGCCGAATTTCAATAGAGTTATTCTTACCTTCAAAAATGCAAACTCTACAAGTGTTTGGCAGTGGTCACATTTTTCCATTCTGAATTGACACGACTTCTCAAGATGCTCTATCAGACTTGATCTAGTCACCAGTTCACCGCATCCTGAATGCACGCATGGAACTTGAACGTACTCACACACAGCCTCGTGATCCTAACACACGAGAACACGTATTTGACAATTATGACAATAATGAACGAGATAACAATACAGGCAATAATTTAAAACGATACGCGAAGAATTGTATTTTAGAATCGGCAACTGTCCAGCTACGATCACTGGAATTCAGAGGAAATGTTTTGTTGCCAATACCGAGAAAAGAAAGACGGGCGCGATTACAGTAATTTTTTTTTCTCTTATTTATTATTGGCGGATACCTCATTAGCATGTTGAAAAAAGAACTATACTTCTTAGGCCAAATTTGAAATAGCTCTATTCCGATAATATTATGACACTCGTTGACAAGATTCCTGCTCTAAAACAAGGATTAAATCGTGCGCCCTATACCTCTGGCCAAATTGAAGATAGCTTCATTACTCCCATAATTTTCGTACACGCGCGGATAGGATTCCTGCTCCAAAACACGGAGTAAATCTTATACCCTAAACTACTTCGTCCTAATTGAAAACCACTTTATCTTGTCTATTATTTCTACATCTCTACATATTTCCAGCTGATACAAGCATGGGCATCACAGAGGGTCTATCTGAACAGTAAAGCCTGTGGATAAGATGGGTGGCCTGTTTAGCACCATAATAGACAAGACAAAAAATCTTTTAAAGCGTTCTTGGCACTTTCATTACAAGATGACAAGGTGTGCGGTAAAAACGTTTAAAATACATGTTTTTGTTTTTTTTTGCCACACGAGTTTCACGGCTACAGATTAACCCCAGTGGGACCCCTTTTGTCAGTAGGGCTGTAAGTGTGTATACATCATGACTTATTTGAACATCATATAGAAGCTTAGTTGTTACCTCTCGTTTTCTAAGCTCGTCTTTTCAATCACATCCTTTTTCTTGATGAATGCAATGGACCAACAGTGACTGTATCTCACGCTCGACAAAGCGGTCCAAAAATACCTGCAGAGTGATACGAAACAATAAATTTCTATTATATATTAGACTCGAAAATAACAGTTACTACTGGACCCATGCAGAATAAACGAAAAGGTTGGCAAATAATTTCGAAGGTGACGGATAACTAACATCATGCGTGCTCTTTTAAGTGATATATTACAGAGGGATCTAGAATCACATTCACGACAAACCTTAACTTCAGATTCAAGTTGAAAATTTCTCAAATTAGAAAATGAGAAGATGAAGATTGTCCAAAATACGTTTTGAGGATGAACTTAACACTGGACTGTAAAACAGTTCGTATTTTTGCGTATGGAGCGTTTTCAATCAAGTGACCAGCATCTATGCAAATTTGTGGAACAAAAGAAAGTGTTTACATAGGAAAAGGGATCAACTCCCACAGGATTGGTTTGGAGCACCAATATGGCCGCCGTGACGTCATGTGAAAACGCTTTATTCAAGTACACGCGAGCAGTCAAACAAAAGGTCTGGAACGAGTCTCAAAACAGAGAGCGAGACTGGGGAGAGACGCTAAAAATACGTTTTTTTTCTCTCCCCTCACACGTCCTACGGGCGTGTAAGGCTCGCGCGCGTCGCGCGCGTAAGACTCTTGCGCCACGTTTACCGATTTCTTTACTGATTTTGAGAAAAAAACCGACCGTTTTGCAGTCTAATTTGACACGTAAGTACTTTTTTATGTGTAGATATGTCACGAGGTTCAAATTCACATTTTCCCCGTTTGCGGTAAAAGTTATTGTAAATAATCTCTCCATTAACAGTAAAATAGGACGTCAGCGTAAAATGGCACCACTGACGTCCGCTATCGGTCCATTTATGAGCTTTTTGTATGATATATGTGGCGACTGGAGTGATGTGATGGTAGAGGTGGACGGCATCAACGGAGAGACTTCCACTACTCTTTTCGAGCAAGAGTGTCGTTTTGTGTCTCCCTGGAATTAACTTGAGAAAGAGGAATGTGATCACCAAAGACGTGCTACCGGCCAAACCAAGACTGAGCCCGGGGTCTCCCGCTCAAATTTGCAGTGCTCTTGCAACTGAGCTAAAGAAAAGTTTTTAATTTTTTTTTCTTTCAAGAAAAGTAAAATGAAAAAAGAAAGAAAGAAAGAAAAGTTAAAGGATCGAAATGGGGTGGGGTGGGGTGAGGGTGGAATGAGGATACAGCATCATAACTGGGTGGCGCGCGTTTGAAGGTACTTAGACTAACTAAAATAACCGCGTATTAAGAAATGCCACTTTCGTCTCGCTTGACTCATAAAGTGTCTGTTATTCAGGCTAAACTAAAACGGAAGTGTGCCTTGTTTCGGACTGTCGTAGTATGTATTCAGAAGATTCATTAACTATCAAAAGAAAAGGCAAACCTGTTCCCTATGAATATCTGATCCATCGATGATGCACTTTCCAACTTCTTGCCTGTAAATTTAGTTGGGACAGGGATCAGTGTTTATCAAACATCACAGTTTTTGTACTTTTTTTGCTGTCACTGCACGACTAATGATTGAAAATGTCTATTTTCATATTTTGTGAAGGGCATAAACAAGCGACGACGAAATTTTATCTCTTTCTAATTCGCCTATATTTGCAAAGAAAGTGAGGTGGAATAAGCACCAAAAAGGTTAAAAGTACGCGAGTTCTTTTTTGCTTAAAAGGCGATGTTTTTACTGCTGTCTTGAGGAATTGACGCGTGGCGGGAAAAAATTACTTCCGGTCACCGTATTAGACGCTTCCGTAATCGTTGCTTATACCAAGGACCTGAAGTACTTACCAAAGAATCGTTTCCACGCATGTTTTACAGTATCTATGTCCACATGCTATTGTTTGCACAGCTTCTCTAAGAAGTCCCTCACATTTAGGGCATAAATTCTTTTTGTCGATAACTGATCGGTCCGCTGAAGATAACTCGTATCCAGGCATTGTAGGGCTAAAGGTAGATGCAAAAACAAACAAACAACATAACTTGTTACTGGGAAAACAAATCGAAAAACAAACAAATTTGGTCAAGTTAATTTGTCTTAATTGTTGTTTGATAAACTGTGTCCAGATCAACTATTACTAAGGACATAACTTATAGGGTAACTTTTATCTTAACCTCGATAAACAAATACTCGAGTCATAACAACAAGACAATTAGACAAAAAATTATCTCTGCTTTTCATTTTTTTTTTTTGAAAAGGCATGTGAACAGAATAAGATGGTTCTTAAGCTCATTCATTCGCTGACGTTTACTTACCCGCCTTATAATTAGCTGTATGGCACAAGATTACTTAGTCTAGGGAAACCGACCGCGGCGGATATTAAGTCAAAGAAAAAGAGCTTACAAACTCTGCCGTTCACCAGCTTTAGCAAGAGAAATTTGTGAAAAGATAATGTGAAAATACTGTAACCTGAAATTTTAGAAGAAGGAAACATTCTTATCTTGAATTTTACTGAATTACGTCACTATGCAGAAAAGGTCTTTGAAAGCAAATTGCTCTCCTTCCTCTCGTTATGTCGTTTGTTCCGTTACATTTTTAGAAAGCCCCATCGACGCTATAACGTTTGGCCTTTTCACTACCGAGATTGGAATATCGGTATCGAGGCAGGTACCCGTCTACGTCAAGAGTGGACATGCAAGTCGACTGAGAATTTTCCATCGTCTACAATTAGAAATTTTGGACAAGACGTGATAGAATGTTCAAAGCTCAAGTAGACATTCTTTCGTACATTTACAGCAATAACTATAACATGTTTTCTTGACTCTCAAGTACTAATTTACGCACGACACCTAAATGCATAACTCAACTACGTCACTATAGAGATTAAGGGGCTCTGTCACGCCCGTCTGGTGCCATGGAATGGCATGTATGGAATTTGTCATGAGAAACTATTGTTGAATGACACTAGCCTACGTGTAGTCGCACCCTCCCTTTTGTCGGGGGGAGGGTGCGGCTACACGTAGGCTAGAATGACACAATCACAGCTTCGTGTCCAACAATATGTCTCCCGAGCATCAAATGTTACAAACCATAAAAATCAACTTTGCAAAACTGCTGGGCTAACAAGACTTAGTTTTCAAAAACCACCTTTGCGATCCGTTTCACTCCTTTTCGAGTCCATCTGTGCCTCCTTCTTGTATTTGATCTTATATTAATTCTCAATTTCATGTTCTATATTTTTACTTTATAACAAGACATTGACAGCAGTGGGTTTTTTAAACTGATGCTTAGAAAGGAGCGGTGTCACGTAATTTATCAAACAGACACCTGGGCTCACGGCTTCCACCAAATTGACTGATACATAAAAATAACTGCAAAAAAATTAAAATAAAGAATAAATATTTATTCTTTATTTTAATTTTTTTGCAGTTATTTTTATGTATCAGTCAATTTGGTGGCAGCCCCGGTGTCTGTTTGATAAATTACGTGACACTGCTCCTTTAATGCATCAGTTTAAAAGACCCACTGTTGTCAATGTCTTTTTATAAAGTAAAAATATAGAACATGAAATTGAGAATGAATCTTGCTGTGTATACTTTTAAGTTACTTTTTGCTTACTTTTTTTCTAATCAGATGACTCAATAGATTGAATAACTCTTAGACTTCTTGTCTAGTAGGGTCAATCGCATTTTTGCAAAAGAAGACCCCCTCTTGATTTTTTCTAACTTAGGTCCTGAAAAAGTGGGAAAATGAAATTAAAGAAATAGAACATAAGAAAAACCCTGTAGAAGGATTTACTGACCGGTCTGTCAACAAACAGCCAGAAAATAGTTAAAACCCCAGGTTGCAACTCACTCTTATAATGAAAGACTTCAAAGATTCCAAGTTGTGGTAAAATCACACCCTCTGGCCAAAAACTCTTCTCCACTGTTTAACTCTGTGCTGTTACCAAGTCGATTCGGTTGCTTAAACACACTGCACTGCTCTAATATATCTTTATTCTCAACTCAAAATAGCTTACTCATTACATCATGTCTAAAAGCAGTGAAGTGAAGAAACGTTCTAGCAAAAACTCAGGCGGTTGCTATGGCGTTATGCATTCCAGAAAAAAAAAACAGAACGTCCATTAAATCCTGTACTTATCGCGAGACTTGATGAGCAGAATGTGGGACGAAGATAGAGAAAATGTAGTGGAATGTAGGTATGGGCAACTCAGTTCAACGGAGAAAATAGAAAAAACAAAACAAAACAAAACAAACCAGGGACAATGCAAAACAAATTAATTCGTCGTGCAAATGTCGCGCAGCTGTAAACCGTAAATTCTGTTGAAATGTCTACAATTTCGCATTTATCAGGTCATTTTTTGCTTAGGTTAATATACACTCCTGACACTTTCTCAACTTTAATACGTCTCGTCGTCTTCACTCGCTTTTAGGAGAGCTTTTCTCGCGCCTTCCGCTCTCGCGGTCGACTTGTGGCGAGTGTACTTAGGTTACCGTATTGTATAGGTTGTAATGCTGCACCAATAAGCTTATCTTTTTTCTTTGTGGTCGCATTTTTATCTCGTTGCATCGAGAGTTACAATCAGTCAATAATCTTTATTTATTATATAGATACTGATGAAATACCAGGATTTTTCCTTTTACTAAAAAATCATATCTTCATCGCACGCAGTGAAGATACTATTTTTATCTTTCACGTGTGAGGATAATGGTGTCGCCATGGTTACTAATATGATTAACCAATTATTGTCTTTATTTCTCCTTTATAACTTTATATCCGAGTTTCATAACATTTTTGTGACAGGCGTTTTTTGATAAGTGACCACTTTAATTGCACTACTTTGCTGTTTCGAAAATGAATAAAAAAAAGTTGTGTTTTATGTAGGAATTTCATCAGAATCTATAAAATAAACAGAACATTTCATGGCCGCTTGGGGTTACGAATTTTATCTTCTCGTGCTGAAAGTGTCTCGTACTTTCAGCACTCGAAGATAAAATTCGTATCCCCGCGCTGTCATGTAATATCCTCTATTTATACACGATATAAGGTAAACGTTAAAGCGATGCTTCGCTCGTGGGGTCGTGTCTGATAAAATTGCTCAATGATAGTAAAAACAAAATAAAATGAGCAACGTAATTAAGGCAAAGCAGGTGCAAAGGTGGCAGAGACCGATGGATGTCAGTGGATGAATACCAGCAAAATTGATAACACAGACTCTATTTGCAAGACAAACTCTTGATGAGAAATTCAACCATTTAAGTAATTAATTTTTTTGGAAATATTTAGTGTCACGTCTCAATGGTCAGCGTTGCGCAACATTTGTTCGAGACTCGTCATGAAAATTCAGGCTATCTGGGTACTAGTACGGGTAAATAACTTCCGGAAAAAACGGGTTCTCTCCAATGCAACGTGACTTTCTAAGCCTAATTTTCTTCACCTCATACGAAAGTCTTCTGTAAAAGAATAATGAGTTCTAAAACCCGAAGGAATTAAGTTCTGATGTAATTAAATGAGTGTATTTCAGCAATGCATACCTGTGTCTAATTACCCTGGGTTCCAGCGGTTACGTTTTCTTATCTGGAGCATGATAGTTCGCGGCGAAGCAGCGAAAGCGAGGGGCGAAGCACCGAGAGAAGAAAAATAACGGAGCTTTTTCGAACCGTGAGCACAGTTTATTTCCTAGGTTTTTCTACAACGGACCTCTGGAGCCGAGGGTAGTGTCTAATATAACCTTCAGAAACTTGGCCTAAAAAATACAGAATATATAATATATAAAGTTGTACTTACACTTTAATAATGTTACGATCGATATCTTTCGCCTCGCCTTGCATGCAGGACTGTGCTTGTGGTAGAATATTGCATTTAAAGGCATGTTGAATAACATATATCCTATATATATATATATATATATATATATATAGGGGAGTATAGTAAAATATCAAATTCAAAGGGAATTAACGTAAGAGTGTTCTAGTAACGAGGCAGCTGGTTTCAGCAAGCACGGGACTCACTTTGAGCAAGGTGACTAGACCCAACTGAAAGGCTAAGAAACGAACAAAGTTTAGATCAAATGTCAGCCTGCAGGAGGACACGTAGTAGGCCATCTCACACGCGTGGTCGATGAGTTGAACATATAAACAGAAATCTGCTTTATAATAGAAAAACAGTTAAACTTGATTTGGTAACGTATGAGTCTGTTCGACCATTACTTTAATGACCGCTCTCAGCGCTTTCCCTATTTGCTTTCAGCGACGACTTAGTACCGATATTACGTACGTAGTAACACATAATCTTTGTTGGGGGTGGGGATTACATTAATTTAAATAACACGACAGCTATAGGGGATTCCCTGAACCTTGGCTCAATAACCCACAAAGAAAGTTCGAAAATCGTGACGCCTCTGGGAGGCGATTAATCTAGGGACGGCTATTATTCGAGGAAATACGGTATGTCGAGTTCTCTATCTGGGTCTCGAGTGACAAGTCCGCCTGGAACGCAGGGAAGCTATTATCATCTTAAAAACGTTTTGATGTAGAAGAAATATATGTACAAGGGATCGTGCATGAGAAACTACGCATAACAAAACAGGCACAGCGTGTAACCCGCGAGAAATTTCTGCATAGACCTTAGTTTATGATTTTCTGGTAATTTTTTTCTCTGTACCTTACTACAGCTAACTGCAGAAGTATTGACTGACAGGTGCTTATAAGTTAACCTTAAATTTGATACAATTATTTTGCGTTGTTTTCCTTAGTGATATGTCATCCTATCCATTACTTAGCCGGATTTCGTGTAATTGATTGCATGCATAGTGTCTCCCCTTTCAGTTAAAATTGAAGATTTCGAAAAAAATACTTTATATATAGGCTGACGTAACCAGACTACTGCATGGGACCAGACTGAACGTAGCTCAGTCAAAGTAAAACACGTCAAAGGGAATGTAGAGAGACTGCTATATATGATATTTAAGGACAATCCGAGCCTGAATTTAAATCTTCTCTTAGAGCACCACGACAATTTCTCTGCAGATCAGTGGCAGCTGAGGTCATTACCCGCACTGAATTCTAAGAAGTCTCTCATAAGATTGGCTCAAGAAAATGACTGTAAAATTACGGGGCAACTGTTTTAAGATCTGCTTCAAAGCATTGGTGAAAATGTAAGAAGGCGCATATAAGGAAGTGCTGGCAATTGAGTACATGTTGTGTGGTCACATTGAAGGCAATTGCGTGACGTCAGTCACGCTAGTATATGCATGGAAATTCCTGCACGCGGAAGTAGTACAGGCTTTTACTTTTTGTGTGACTGCTTCTTCCGAGGATAAACTCCTTAAATTTTGGACATAAAACCTCAAAATGTCAAAATGAGACCATTTTTGAGACCGATATGGAGTGTCTAGGGTCTATCTAGGGTTATAAAAAATCCTAACTTTCGGTCTTTTCCACAAGAAATATGTGTGCATTAACGATTGGAGACTATGGGTTTTAATGTGGGTAATCCAACCAGTTAATTCAAGATAAATTTAACCTTCGATGAGCTTCATTTTCATGTAGGCCACGCGGTACCACGGATAAATACTGCATGCCATAAATTGTTCTGGTAGAGATCGGTAGAGACTCGTTTTAGTCGAAAACAGAGCAAGTTTGATTTAAGGAGGAAATAAAACTAGGGTTGTTATTTCTCCTGGTTAAATGGCACTTAACCCAAACACCTAACGAATTCCCGGCTAGAACTCTTTTAAATTGATCCGATCAAGTGCCGCATCTATAGCGCATCAACCTTTAAAATTATTCCATGACAGCAACCTGCCAGCCGCGGTCGAACACCGTACTCCTTTTTACCGGAGCATTGAGGGAGAAAGGGAGAGCATATGAGCGCACCGTCGACCTCAAGTCTATCAGTTGAATTACTGTCACGGGTTGTGGACGTGAAATATGGTTGCTGTAAATGACCTTTACGTTTAAAATTTGATCGTCTGGACAAGAGGTATGTTAACAAATGCTTGTAGACGGAGTTCTGCCACAAGACACAATGACAATGGAACACTGACCTTTCTCCTATTTTCGAGACCCTTGGAAAATGTCCTCTTTATCTTGATTCAAAAGCTATGGCTTCAGAGCTTTAAAATCAAAGACAATTTATAAGGGACGACAAATGCTCACTTTATTTATACCTTGTGATACCGGATTAAAGCTTGATCAATCGCTTTCAAGACATGATTTTGTTGAGCGGTGTTATCCCGGCCTGTAACCATATTTAAGCTGGCAGAACTGGAACGCGACTTATTTGGGCCGGTTTTACGGGTTGTAACTAATTAACCATCCCTGCCGGTACGTCACACTCGAAGACATCGGCAGAGATCACTTCAAGCTTTATAAGGAAATAGCGGCTGTTGTTACATTTGCAAATGACCATGCCAAGGTTTAACGTTTAGGTCAAGCTCAAACAACCCATTTTATTTCCTTCACCGTTTTTATGGACCAGACGAAGCTGTATGAATAAAAACAAATAATAACAAGTAAGTCCGAGAGGGTTTTGCAGGCTATTCAAATGAAAAGTTTTGAAACAAAAAGTTTAGACAATCTCTCAATGTTTATCTTGTTTTGTTCTTACTATGTTAAGAAAGGAGCCGTGTTCAACATGTGCAGGACTCAACACTACTGGTTATACTGAACGTGCGCTCTGACTTGTGAAGTATGAGTTCTGTCTATTCTTAAGCTCTCAGGCGTGAATTTACACATGATTAAATCAAAGTAATGTCTTTTGAACTTCTTAACATCGGAAGAGCAGACTAAATTACGCAGCTTAACTGCATTCAGATGCTATTGGCACGTGGAATAGAAAGGCCATAAGACAACAGAGACCTTGTGCCATATAAGTTTCTCGGAGAGGTAACCCATCCAGGATGTTTTGGAACAGAAATAGCCTTCTTTCAATACAGATGTTATTGATGGGTAGCCACCCACATGTTCCAGAAATAGCGGCAGTGTTCTAGCCTAAAAAGGCGCAATCTTATACGCGCACATCGTTTTTGAACTCCAAAAATCTCATTCAATAATCCTGCATTACAACTTCCCCATAAAGACACACAGTCACTCAAGAATGGGTTTAATACTAGCATTTGACGAAACTATGTGATATTTAACTAGCACGCAGGACTGATTTTTTAATGCGATCTAAGAGTTTGTTCCCACTGTCAACCACAGCGAAAGGGCACATTCTTCTCAACGAGTATCAATTATCATGTATTTTGTCCTTTCGTCAGCAAACAGGCCATTTCAACCAATTTTTTAGGGGAGGTTGTTGTAGTAGGAAGAGAGGGTCCAAAATTGAGCCCTGAGGAACTCCAGAACTCAATACTACGGTACCAGATAAGGTTTCAGCAAGGTCAACACACTGGTGACATAATGTACTACATTAATTTGAAATTATGTTACACTTGACAATTTTTAGCTCAAGAAAGCCGGGCAACGAAGCGGTTCCGAATCGACACGAGGGCAAACACGCAGACTGCTATTGTGGCATTAAATCCCCTAGTTTCCATGCTCTTTATTTCCCTTAAACATTTAGTGAGCAGAACTAGATCAGAGTAACCAATAAACACTGACAAACTATTACTGAGTAAATAAATAATCTACAGGGTGGCTTGGCGGAAAGAGTCATTTTAGGCCCAGTTCACATGTGCCTAATTTAATGCTAATGAGAAAAATCAATTGTTCTCGCTCTTTTCATGCATTAGATTCGGCACTTGTGAAATGCGACTTTTGAACCGGGCCTTATTTACGTCCTAGTCACGACATGGTTTCTTTAACTCACTTTGGTTTGCAAATGAACGATTAATAAAAAATAAGCTGAAACTGACGGCATAATTTTGGTTTGACATAACAGGAAAAAAAAACACGCGCCTAGACTACAAGCCATCGATCCGTTAAGTTTTGAATTGGTTTAAAAACTTGCCCAGTTTAGTTTAGAGAAGCGAAACTTATTTTACTATCATCTTTCGGCTGGGGACGATGGCGGAAACAGAAACATATAGCAACCTAGTACGGCGGCGGTGAGCAGCGATTCCTACTGGTTCTGTTCGTCGGTGTTGGTATAGACCTTCATTGCAGCCGGACTTGTCACTCGAGACCCAGATAGAGAACTCAAACTCGATATAGTCCGTCGGGGGGATTTAGACTGTCTGCGATGCAAGCTACTTTGGTAAGTTTACTTACTCTGCTTTCTCAATGAAACAGTGATATTCCATTCTTTGAAGCAGTCGATCATTTTAATCAAGGACGTTTATGAGAATATCATTCCTATTGTAGATACGACCGGCCTTTCTACCATAACAATAAGACTCTCGAGATCATGTTCATATTGATCTACGGCCATTTATTTGTGTCTTTAGGCTATAATATCACAGAAACAATGGCTATTTCAGTATGTCGTCTGGTATTTCCATGAATCATCAATTTGATGGAGGCAATTAATGTCAGTTAGATAGATAGATATATTGATTTTATCAGAATGTCGTCTGCTATATATTGGTTTTGTCTGTAGTGTTTATTAGTAAGCTTAAGCGTGATGTTCTTGGCACTTTTAGGGATACGTGTGTAAACATTGATAGAGGGAATCTGGGCCCCAACAAATTCTCAAAACTTTTATTATAAAAATACCTCTTTAACTTGTATGTTTTGTTATTGAAACCCGCCCTGTACAGTTACACAATTAACTCTCCAATTCTCTCCCCTCCTCCATCCCAAGCTTCGCCATCCTCGGAGACCCAGGGGCGGTCAGTCGGGCCGGGAGAAAAGGCGCGACGAAAGTTTTAAGGCACAGGCGGAAAAGCCCCTGGGTACCGACTCTCACCGGAACATTTCCAAAAAAAAACTCTATATGAAGCTGGTGCTTTGCTGCCGAATTACACGTTGCTGTAATAAGTGCCGAAATGAAGCGCCAAAGATGTCAAACAACTGGCCAAAAGTGAGAAAAAAACCGAAAAGATCGCGACAAAAAAGCGTAAACAAGATCAAACGGAGGTAAGTTTTCGAATGACCATTTTTTTGTTTGGTGCTGTACTGAAAGAAATCTGTAATGAAACCTTAATTCTGGTTTATGTATAAAGGATAAGTATTTCAATGCATTATTTTTTTTCTTTTCAGGAATTCTGTTTTCTATAATATTGATAACTCAAAGTTTGAAAATTATTCACAAAGTTGTTTTGAAATTTTTTTTGTGTTATCAAAGTTTAAATAATTATTATCCATTGTTTTGAATGCAGTAAACAATTTTAGTGAGCACGTAAATATTTCTTATTGACACAAGTTAATGGTCTGGGACAGGATTATTCACATAAATTACCAATAACAGGAGTTTTAGTTTTGTGAGAAACTAGGGAGTTTTGTTGCAAAAAAATTAAATACCTCTGTAATTTCCATTAATGCTGTCCAGTCTTTTGTGCCTCAAGTGATGTGAAACAGAGAAGGCTGATGGTCTTCTGGTTATCATATGAAGACAGTGGCAACCAAGAGGTTTGTTTGGAGTGAAAGAAAGGTGGTAAACAAGCATAGTAAATGATCATCTGAAGGAGAAAACAAAGTTGTCTGTGTGGAACAAACCAATAATTATTATGCACCAGACCCACAAACAACAGTATGTGGAAAAATACCTCTCTCGATGAGGTATGCTTCTCTAGCTTTACGTACACGTTTACACTGACATGTTCCACTCTGTGTCCCATCAGCAGAGTTCACACTACTGATTGATCAGAGAGAACAAGTTTGGTCCCATGTTGTTAAAATACCTGTTACCTCTGTATTTTCTGTATTGCTCAATATTATTAAAGGAATTATAAACTACGTGTACATATGTTCTGTAACAAATAGTTAAGCATGTATGCTATTTATGTCTTTCCCTCGTCTATATCACAAAAACTGGGATACTACATTGGCTGAGCTCTGTTTAATGGGCAATTAAGACACAGAAGCCACATGGGTGAAAATGGCTTTGGGACACGCCCATAGCCGGCCTTAATTTTATTGTAATAAACAGAATCACATGACTTGTGTACAAAAGAGGTTTAGCAAGGGTACTTTCACCAAATTGGCTACATAAAAATTTTCAGCCCAGTAAATTGTAAAGGTGAGGGACTGAAAGGCCAAATAAAAGAACTTGACGACAAGGCAAAGGGAAGAAGGTGGGGAAAAGGTTTTGATGTCCTTTCACACTGAAGTAACGAGGCAGAATGACACATAACTCTGTGCCCACATGTGATCAATAATGCACCCTATATTTAAGCAGGAGGGGGGGGAGAATACAAAGGATTGCCTCCAGCACTCACCTTATCCTATTGATAATCACTTATTCATGTGCAAAACTCATATTAATTTTATTGATTAACGCTACTTTTCTCGGGTAAAGACATAAAAAAATCTATTTGTAAACAAATATTTCATTTAAAAACCACAGCTCTAATGGGCCATCAATTCATTTGACAGAAACAACATTCAAACAACAAGTTGATGATTTAAGCAGTCATAAGTTAATATGGACAAAATCAAAAGCATGACTGACATGACTGGAACTTTATAGAAACAGAAGAAAAAGAAAAATAGCTAAATGCAATATGTTTATTTCTTATATACATCCATTCTCTCTTTTCAATTTGTAACATTCTTTTTCCATCTACTGCGGCTCGTAACGGTGTGGATATGCCCTCCGCTTTCCTTTGAATCTCTTTCTCAACTCTCTGTAAGGCAAAATAAAAATTAAATTAAGCTTTAGGTTGATAAATATAGTTAAAGAATAACAAGTTAAAACTGATAAATCACTAACATCTAATAACCTCCTGTACAAGACCATTACCCCAACCCCATTCTATTAAAAGTGAATGGGCAAAATTGTTGTATATATGCAAAAACATTTGTCCCAACCTCATTCTAAAAAAGAACAAACAACGCTTACAGTATTTCCTCGAATGATAGCTGTCCCTCAATTAATCGCCTACCTCGAATAATCACCCCTTAAGACAGAAATATTTAAAATAATCGCCTTCCTCAAATAATCGCCGCCCCCCCCCCCCCACCCTTCTTGCCATCTTCTCTTTCTTAAATCCCCTCCCTCTCAAGTGGAAGGATCGTGAAGTGGAGTCTGGTGTGGCAAAACTCATCAGTGACCATTCAAGCTCTGACGCTGAAGATATAGACAATGAAAGGTAATCAAGGAACCAATCTGAAACACTAAAAAAGCCCATGTTCAGTTTATTTGATGTGATCATTTGTTGATTTAAAGGGAAAATAAAACAAAATATTTAGTGGATGACGTCCAGTGAGCAATGTTAAAAATAATCGCCTCCCTCAAATAATTGCCTTCCCTTGCATAATCGCCCCCTTCGTGTGAAAAAAAATAATAATCGCCCCTGGGTATAGACCAGTAATAATTAACCTTTACAGATCCTGCACCACAATGTACAGGTAAGATTTCCATACAACCCCAAACATTTGTTATGTGTGTTAAATGATATAAGCTTGCTGCATGCATAATAAATGTGGGGGTTTGGATGCATAGGACCTTTTGATGTTGTGTTTGCCACTTATTGATCCAGCAAGTTTTGTCTACTTTAGTAAGCACTCATGGTTCTAGGTGTAGGCTGCTGAATGTAGTCTTTTCTTTTTTTCTCTATAGAAAGCACCCAGAAGTGTTAAGAATGTAAACTACTGCAATAAGTTCAAGCTGTGTATAACATCTTGTTTAAAATTATGTCTTATTTCTTGTACCTCCCCTCCTCAGTGAAAGCCTAATTAACTCATTTTCTACATTGTATGGTATGCAGATCCCATATTAAGCAGACACCCTGTATTCAGCAGTCGAATAGCTCAAAATGTGGCAAAGGGTTTCTTTCCATAATTTAAGAAAAACGAACCTGTAATTAGTGGATATCTCTAGTAAGCAGAAAGCAGCAAAGTTTGTGTGGATGTCTGCCTAATTCTAATTATACAGGGTTTTTTTTTATTTATAACAACCTGATATGCATAAAAATAGATGGTAAAAAGAAGGATGAGTGAGGATGCAAAGAGAGAAGAACTGAGTCCTTATGCCAGGCTGGCTCCCTCCCTGAAGATATAATATCAAATACAACATGTAAAGGTTTCATAAAACTGGTACATCATTTTTATGTTGTGTGTCTTTTAGACTGTGAGCAGTTCTTCACCTCGAAAATCTGTAAGCGAGAGTATTTGAGCAGCGAAGTTGCGCGAGTTGTGAGGGCGCAAATTCGAATACGCTGCTCAAATACTCTATTATGGCTCTTGATTCGGCACGTGTGAAATGCGACTTTTGAACCGCGCCTTATTTACGACTTAGTCACGGCATGGTTCCGTTGACTCACTTTGGTTTGCAAATGAACGATTAATGAAAAACGAGCTGAAAGGGACTGCATAATTTTGACAGAACAGGAAAAGAAAAACACGCACCTAGACAACAAGCCATCGATCCGATAAGTTTGAATTGGTTTAAAAACTTCCTCAGTTTAGTTTAGAGAAGCGAACCTTACTATCATCCTTCCGCTAGGACAAGAGTGGAAACAATGGGCAGGCTTGCGGAAACAGAAACACATGGCAGCCTATTTGATGGCGGCGATGAGCCACGATTCCTCCCGGTTCTTCAAAAAAATTCTGTTCAGCAGTGTTGGAATAGCCTGCGTTGCAGCCGGACTTATCACTCGAGACGGATAGAGCGGCTCGCTACTGAGTCCGTCGAAGATTTAGACTGCCTACAACGCTAGCTACGTTTGGTAAGTTACGCTACTTTCTCTGTTTTCTTAGTGAAACAGTAATATTGCAGTCGATCATTTTAATTACAGAAGTTTCTGAGAATATCATTCCTAGATACGACCGACCTTTCTACCATAACAATGAAACTCTCGAAATTTGTTATCATGTTGATAGTGTGCGGGCATTACGTGTGTCCACATACAATATATTGGTTCAGAATGTCGTCTGCTATATATTATTGGTTTTGTGTCTAGTGTTTTGTCCTTCAGTAGCAACAATTCTTGTTAGGGATTTCATTATAATTTTTCATAATTTTATTATAATTAGGGGCTTTCCCAGATAGTTCGAGTTCGATGATTGGCTGGTTGGCGCCGGGTCTCTGTCGATTGGCCTCATGTGTTAGTTGAATATATACGCCGGTCATGGATTCGGAGACAAGGAGCTACAATCTGACCTCTCAAGTACTACAAACAAGCCAAGTTTCTCGAGCAAGTTTATATCTCATTCATTCCGTTGCTTCACTGACCACCAGAAACATAGCAATGATGTTCGACCTTATTTAAGGCGTCGCCTCATTCATCGTAATCGTTGTCGTGATCATGATCGTCATCGTACTGCTCTGTGTTTTCAAACTGTACTTGGCTCTTACAGCAACCTGCCGTGAGCATAGAGCCTTTCTCTTAGAGAGCGCGACAAGGGAAGAACAAGAAAGATTCAACAGAGGGCAGAGAGAACTTGAAGCGGATAGAAGAAACAATGCAGAAGAAGAAAGACCAAGACGGTTCGGGCGTCGACGTCTCCCAGTGCAACATGATGAACGACGGTGTCTCGGAGTAAGTATAACATTTATTAATTCTTTTATGATTGACTTTAAAAAAGGCTTATCTCGTCAGTTTCTTTGGGGGACTGACATTTAATGAGGGATCGTGGATTTAGGAGGCGCATGCAGTTTAACATAAAAAGAAGGATGTATGAGCATGTCTTGACAGTAAGTAGTGTTTGTATCGATACGTCTTTCCTGTTTTCTTCTTTAGCTCTAAGATTGTACAAAACAGTTGTGTTATTTTACCAGTGACAACATAAACCTAATTGCAATAACGTTGTCAAAAATTCTAAAAAAAAAAACGAAAAAAAGAAAAAAGAAAAATAGGTCTGGAATAAATTAGACATGTACACTTGACACCATTTTACATCACAGGGTCGGCCAGGGTTTTTGGGTATACGGTATACCGTGGCTTTTTAGGGTATACAGTATATTGCAGCTTAAATGCGGGTATTCGGTATATCACTTTCTTTGAATCTTAGCTTCCGGCTAAGATTTACTGAAACTCGGATGGGTATTTTCTTCACAAGTCAACCTTTTTTTCGGAAAACGTGTCTTTCATTTTGTTTTACTTTTTTAAAATAGTTTACTTCATGTCTTCATCTTATTCCTAACTTTTTAATAAGTGCTTCAAATCTTTATTCCAGGTGCCATCATGCTCAGATGCCAGGGCAGGATTTCGGTCGGACTTCATGTGACGTATTATTAAATCAAACAGCTGTTCTACTCGAACATGTGCTATGTACAATATCTTCTGGGAGTGCTTATATGATGATGTCATGGTCACAATATTGCCATATGAAATTGAATTATCAACACAATAGTGTTTCTGTGAGAAATTCAGAACGGTGAAATTTGATTTTCCAGTTTTGTAGATAAATTTCGGTATGGTCTATTTTAGTATTTTATTTTTGCTAAAACATCGACTTTTGAACTAGTATAGCAAGAGTATTTCTCTATAATAATCATTTTAATTTTTAAAAAGTTGTTCAATCCGTTAGTCATGTTTACATTGCAGAGCAACTTAACCCGGCCTAGCCTGCGAACAGCAGACGCATTTCCGGTCGTCGCTTCTCTCCCTCCGAAAAATAGCGGAGCGAGAGAAGCGACGACCGGAAATGCGTCTGCTGTTCGCAGACTAGACCCGGCCTCGCATGACCTGTTGTAATAAAAAAGATCTCACAATTACAATTAGTTTATTCTTACCATCGATCCAATATTCCTTTCTCAGTTAAGAAAAGCTTTTTGTTATATCAAAAATCCATTCAAACGTGACCCCATTTCGTGTCGTTTTTCTCATCCCCACAGTTTTACTTAATGAATTCTGTTAAATTACAATCTTAAGTAGCACTTACAAGTCCGGGTTACAAGTTTAATAAAATAAAATATGCTAACTCATCTAGGTGAACATACACGACTCGACTACCATAACTCATTGCAGCTATGACTTCACAAGTTGTGTGTGCACTTAAACGTCTAAATCGTGATTAAATTCCGCGTTGCCTATACTGTCTATATTTCATTGTTGGGATATTACATGTCTCTGTCAACTTCCGCATGTTTTTTCTTTTCTTAGTGTTTGTCCATTAACTATAGTACTTTTGGCAAAAAATACCATATATTATTTAAAAATTTCTACATATAACACTACCTATGAGGAAACATAATCATTTGAGACCACACGACTGTAACATGGGCTGGTGAGTTGGATCTGTTTACAGCCTGTTAAGCAGGATATCACAAAGACGGGATGATTTTATATTCGCAAAATCGAACTAGTGGTTTATTATCAACGATGCGTTCTGATTGGTTGAGCTACTACTACGCCATATGTTATAGCCCACTAGTAGCGAAAAGCGCCGGCTTTGAAAACCAGAACAATGGCGGCTGAATCTTGTTTTGTTAGTTAAAGTTGCAATTTGTCTCGATATTTTTGACCAACTAGTTGGATTTTACTAAAACAATTATTTCTCTCGCCCTCATGGCCTCTGAGTCATAAGCCCATTCTATTGACTCAGAGCCCATTCGGGCTCGAGGAATAATTGTTAAATAAATAATAATAGCATGGTCTTAGTTTCCATTGCATGCCTCTGGCATCCAAGTTTCACTGTGTTTTTCGTTTCATCGAGTCTCTTCATTTATTACTAGGACAAGTCCAGTTTGAATATCAAATAATTTAAACTTTTTCCTTTTCTTTTTATCGGTAGCAATTCCATAAAGACATGATTTGAACTAAAAGGAGGAAATCGGAGCTCCTGGAGTAAAACCCCCTCTAATAATTATGCCTTCTATATGTAGTATAACAGATTAAATATATAAATATTCTTTTCTCGGTGAACATACACGACTCGATTTCCATAGCTCACTGTAAGCATGACTTTCAAGTTGCTTGTCCACTCATGATGTAAGCCTTCAATTTGCAAAAAAAAAAGTCTCCAAATCGTTTCAAATCCAAAGTCGCATATAGCGTCTCATAGCTCATTATTAATTCGGTTATTACTGAACATGTCATTGTCAACTTCAGCATGTTTCTTCTAGTTCTTAATTTTTTCCTGTTTCCTTCTTATTTGTTCGCAATTTTTTTTCTAAAAAATACGTAATAAATTTTTAAAAACCTTAATGATGAGATAACACCCATATAAAAATTATCTGTGTTTGAACATAACCAGGTGAGACTACCCGACTATATCCGTAGACAATGTCCTAAATAGAAGAATGCACGCCAGATCGAGATTGATCGTTGCCCGCGTTTTCCGTCCTTTCTCTCCCCAGTCTCCCACTTGCTTCGCTGCCTCAAGAGTCTGAAAACCTGGAAATATTTCTGAAACCGGTGTTACCAAGAGAGAATGAGCTAGCTCTTTCTCTCTTGATGTTATAAATCCGTCGTATCGACTATGACCTTCAGAAACAAAGTATCGTCTCGGACGTAGGCATGATCGTTTAACTCCGACAAGGGACAGAATGTAGGGCACCCACTAGCGATGTTTGTTTCTCTTCTTGGTCTCTGGAAGGATGAGCTGTTTGGGTCAGGTCTGAAGGAGTCGATCACGTGTTCTACGTTATTCTGATCCAGCAGCATGAACGTTACCTTCTGTCTGAATGGCCAGCGGAGTAACGCATCGTACTCACCACGCATGACAACAAAGAATACCGAGATGTGTGTCCCTCTTCCAATACCATCACCATTCAAATAGATGCACGCGCACATCTTGTATCCATAGCGACTGGTAAAGAAGCACGGGCTGTAAAATGATGTCTGTTGCCCGGAGACGGCGTCTTGGCGTTTTTTAGCGAACTCGGTGATTTTCCAAAGCAAGATTCCATCGTGACTGGAGACTTCCTGCTGCCTCACAGATTCGTCCAAATCTGTCAGCATAACATTACGAAGTGCTAGTGAGTGACTCATGGACTCGAACTGTCTTTGTAGCCGATCAGTTGTTCCATTGGAAGACTCCTGTTGCCTGGCTACGGTAGACACCTTTCTCTGAAGTTCTTCGCTTAATCTGTTTGCTTCAACGAGCAAAAGCTCGAGATTGGCCGTCTTTCCTTCTTCTGTAGTTAACCTCTGTAAAAGCTCCTTGACAAACGTTGAATCAAATGCTGATGCTGAGTTTGAGCTATTCTGTCTAGAACTTTCCAGTTGCCGTATTCTTTCTTCTTGTTGTGCCAGTTTTGATTTTAAGTCTTCATTCTCTTTCAGCGTATTCTCAACTTGTTTAGCATAGCGTTCCAGATCTTTCTGTTTTGGTAGGTTTACGCCATTCATTGACAATTGACCAGAGTCGCGCATGGTCCTACTAACCATCGAGAAGAGCTGCATTACGGTTTGAAAAAGGAGCATCAGATGACCGGAAGCATTGTCCTCTTCATGCTTCCGTCTTTCTTGCAGTTTCATAGTCTAAAGAAAACGAAAACGACATAGTTTATTAAGGCTGAGAATCGTTAATAAACACGCAGCCCACCCACAGATTACCAAATGATTGCTGACTTGGAGAATATAATCAATCAAACTTCAAGTGGATTCAATAGTGGCTCATGCCACCTTGATCACCACTCAGCTTGAGCTTTCTGGAGACGTCTTTTCTTCTCTTACCTGCACAATCTAAGGACTCTTCAGTACACTTATGTCCAGGATCGATCTTGTTAGCAAAAATTTGCTAGCAAATTGCTTTCGCAATTGTCGCAAAAGAAATAATTGAGAAAAAATTGTGTAAGAAAGTCACTTACAAATATCGCAAAAATCGCAAAAATAACAAGTCTAACAAGAATCAAGAGGGACCAAGAAACCAAGAAGGACCCCGAAATGTCCGCAAATATCGCAAAAGTAACAAGGATTTTTCTTGCTAGCTGAAAACGCCCGTGACAAACATCGCAAAAATCGCAAAAATAACAAATCTAAAAAGAATCAAGACTTGGAAACAGAAGAAGCCAAGAAAGGCCCCGAAATGTCCGCAAATATCGCATAATCGCAAAAGTAACAAGGATTTTTTTGCTAGCTAAAAACACCCGTGACAAATATCGCAAAAATCGCAAAAATAAGAAATCTAACAAGAATCAAGACTTGGAACCAGAAGAAGCCAAGAAGGGCCCTGAAATGTCCGCAAATATCGCAAAAATCGCAAAAGTAACAAGGATTTTTCATGTTAGCTAAAAACTCCCACGACAAATATCGCAAATATCGCAAAGATACCAAATGTAACAAAATTCCAGACTTACAAAGACAAGAAGCCAAGAAGGGCCCCGAAATGTCCCCAAATATCGCAAAAATCGCAAAAGTAACAAGGATTTTTCATGCTAGCTTTAAACACCCATGACAAATATCGCAAATATCGCAAAAATAACAAATGTAACAAAATTCCAGACTTAGAAAAAAAAGGAAGCCAAGAAGGGCCCCGAAATGTCCCCAAATATCGCAAAAATTGCAAAAGTAACAAGGATTTTTCTTGCTATGTGAAAAGATTGAGCAACAAATATGGCAAAAATAGCAAGAATAACAAATTTAACGAAATGCTTCACTTAGAAAGAGAAAAGGTCAAGAAGGGCTTCGAGATGTCCGCAAATTTCGCAAAAATCGCAAAAGTAACAAGATTTTTCTTACTATGTGAAAAGACTGAGCAACAAATATGGCAAAAATTGCAAGAATAACAAATTTCACAAAATTCTACACTTGGAAAGAGGAAAGGTCAAGAAGGGCTTCGAGATGTCCGCAAATTTCGCAACGTTCTTGTCCAGTAATTTTGTAATGCGTTCCATTTTCGCGAAAATAAAATCATCAGTTACAAACGTGACACTATTTATAATTACTGACAGTACCAAAATACTGTAATATCAATCTGTGTATGCTTCGTTCTTCCAGCTACAATGCATAAAAAGGAGTGCCGCCCACAGAAGGGGGCAAATTTTAAGCAATAAAAGGGGGTGGTAGCAGAACTTTCATGCTCAAGAACCCACCGCAACCATCGTTCAAAATATCAAGAATAGCACATTGAGGGAAAGAAAACAGGCATTAGACATGAATGTTGCTGTGCAATTATGTGTCCTTCGTTCTATTACTCATGAATCATGAACAAAAATAACAAAGCCACCGAGAAAAGAGACCAAAAGACCTAGGCCATACAAATACAAAATGTCCTAAGATGATTGGTTCACTTACAACCTCTGATTTAAGAAATACCCTTTGTGGACGTTTGAAGCTACAAACAACCCAAAAAATGAAAATTACATTGTCACAGATACAGTCTGACCCAAATCAAATCCTTGTTACTTTTGCTATTTTTGCGATATTCGCGGACATTTTGGACCCCTTGTTGGTTTCTTCTTTTTTCTAAGTCTAGAATTTTGCTAAATTTTTTTATTTTCGCGATTTTTGCGATATTTGTCACGGGTGTTTTCAGCTCGCAAGAAAAAACCTTGTTACTTTTGCGATATTTGCGGACATTTCGGGGCCCTTCTTGGCTTTTTTTCTTTCCAAGTCTAGAATTTTGTTAAATTTGTTATTTTTGCGATTTTTGCGATATTTGTCAGGGGTGTTTTAGCTAGCAAGAAAAATCCTTTTTACTTTTGCGACTTTTGCGATATTTGCAGACATTTCGGGTCCTTCTTGGCTTCTTTGCTTTCTAAGTCTGGAATTTTGTTACATTTGTTTTTTTTGCGGTTTTTGCGATATTTGTCACGGGTGTTTTAAGCCGGCTAGAAAAATCCTTGTTACTTTTGCGATTTTTGCGATATTTGTTGGTGATTTTCTGACATAATTTTTTCTCAATTATTTCTTTTGCGACAATTGCGAAAAACATTTGCTAGCAAATTTTTGCCAACAAGATCTATCCTGGACATATCTCCTTCAGTATGAGTATTCCCTAGTAGACTCCCTCACGCCCAACTACGCACCATTCTTGTTTACAAACAAGTAGTCTGATCTGCCTCTGGGGAGAGGGAGAGGGAAAATCTTGGCATCTCCTTAAGTGAGCTGACCATTCAAGAAAAAACCGACCCTGATTGTCATTTGTTTTTAACGTTGGCCCCTTTAATATGCAATCCTCTCCTAACTTAAGTAATCTTAAGTATTTGCATACCTTAGTCTCAGGGCATCCAATTTGCGTCCATGGACAACTTGATTGTATTTCTTCACAGTCTCCATTTACCAGATCAATATGGGCACGCATCTGAGTAAGAAAGATGGAAGCCAACATCACGTCTCAAACGTATTATTCCAGTGTTACTGTCTAGGAGCTAGCTGGTAAGAACCCATTTACACATTTACGCGTGCGTTGCAGATCAAATTTGAATCTGCAATCATTATTTCGAGGAGTGTGTAAAAACAAAGCAGAACACCAGGAAGAAGAAAACCTCTCGGAGCATACTCACTTGAGAACGAGGTATGTCCTTTTTCCCACATTCTGTGCAAGTCACAGGGGTGAAGGGACACTGAGATTCTTGGTGCTCCTGTGCAAATGAATTATGCATTAGTCATCGAGTTAGGGATCGCTGTGAACATACTCTCCGGGCCTACCAGGTTTTAAATGGAGACCATTAATGTAGGTAGAAGGCTCTCATGTTTATGAGACCTTTTACTACCACCGATTTCTGGCGATTTGAGACCGTAGGAGCTCAGAGGCGTAAAGAAATTTCCAAAGAGTCAATGAGCGTGAGAAATTTATTGTTGTAAAGGAAGGTGTAAAAGTACGTTAAGTATTAAATTACTTAAGGATCCTGTTCCAAATGACGAGAGCTTAAAGGTAAACAGCCGAATTTCAGTAGAGTTATTCTTACCTCCAAAAATGCAAACTCAATAAGAGTTTGGCAGTGGTCACATTTTTCCATTCTGAATTGACACCACTTCTCAAGATGCTCTACCAGGTTTGCTCTAGTCACCAGTTCACCGCATCCTGAATGTACGCATGGAACTTGAACGTACTCACACACAGCCTCGTGATCCTAACATACGAGAACACGTAATTGACAATTATGGAAATAATGAACGAGGCAATAATAACGATAATTTAAAACAATACGCGAAGAATTGTATTGCAGAATCGGTAACTGTCCAGCTCGGATCATTGTAAAACCAGAAAAAAACTATAATCTGGAACGCAGAGGAAATGTTTTGTTGCCAATACCGAGAAAAGAAAGACGCGTGATTAAAATAACTTTGTTTTGTATTGGCTGAGACTTCATTAGCATGTTGAAAAGGGACTATAATAAATGCACTAAAGCCAAATTGAAAATCGCTTTATTCCGATAATATTCTGACACACGTTGATAAGATTTCTGCCCCAAAACAAGGATTAAATCGTTCGCCCCATACTTCTTTGACCAAACTGAAGATTGCTTTACTCCGATAATGTTCTTAAACGCGAGGATAAAACACGTAGGTAAATCTTGCGTCCTATACTACTTCGACCTAATTGAAAACCACTTTATCTCGTCTATTATATCTACATCTCTACGTATTTCGTAGATAATCCAGCTGATACAAGCATGGGCATCATAGAAGGTCTATCTGAACAGTAAAGCCTATGGTTGAGATAGGTGGTCTGTTTAGCACCATAATAGAAACGATAGCCGCAAGACAAGACAAAAAATCTCTTAAAGCGATCTAGGCACTTTCATGACAAGATGACAAGCTGTACGGTAAAAATATTTCAATATATTTTTTGCCTCACGAGTGAGCGCTTTTGAGTGTTTCACGGCTACAGATTAACCCGACTGGGACCGCTCTTGTCGGTAGGGCTGGAAGTGGGTATAAATCATGACTCATTTGAACATCATATAGAAGCTTAGTTGTTACCTCTCGTTTTCTAAGCTCGTCTTTCCAATCACATCCTTCTTCTTGATGAATGCAATGGACCAACAGTGACTGTATCTCACGCTCGACAAAGCGGTCCAAAAATACCTGCAGAGTGATACGAAACAAAGTATTGCTACAGGAAAATGACAGTTTCTACTTGACCCATAGGCATGCAGAGTAAACAAAAAGGATGACAAATAACGTCGAAGGTGGCGGATAAGACAACATTATGTGACCTCTGATTTATTACATCTACAGGGATTAGAATCAGGTTTACGACAAACCTCAAACCTCAGATTCAAGTTGAAAATTTCTCAAATTAGAAAATGAGAAGACAAAAATTGTTCAAAATACTTTTTGTGGATGAACGTGACATGAAACTACTTTTTTATGGGTAGATAAGTTGAACAGTAAATAACAAAATCTTGGTCACGTGGTTCAAATTGACGTTTTGCCGTTTGCGGTAAATGACTCTATATTAACAGTATAATAGGACGTCAGCGTAATATGGCACCACTGACGTCCTCCATCGGTCCATTTATGAGCTTTCCGTATGATATATGTGGCAAGTGATATGACGGTAGAGGTGGACGACAGCAACACAGAGACTGCCCCTACTCTTTTCGAACAAGAGTGTGGTTTTGCGTTCCCCTCGAATTAACTTGAGAAAGAAGGATGTCACCGCCCAAAGACGTGATCACCCAAACGGAGACATGATCTTACAATTATTCAAAGACCTTTGGTTCTTGGTCCCGCCGGGGTTTGAGCCCGGGGCCTCCCGCTTAGAATTTCAACGCTCTTCTAACTGAGCTAAAGAAAAGTAAAAGGATCGAAATGGGGTGGGGCGGGTTGAGGGTGGAATGACGATGCAGAATCGCAACTGGGTGGCGAGCGGTTAAAGGTACGCAGACTAAAACGGGGCTGTGTCATGTTTCAGACCGCCGTAGTATGTATTTAGAAGATTTCACTAACGCCAAATTTCATTATCGATAAAAAGGCAACCTGTTCTCTATGAATATCTGATCCATCGATGATGCACTTTCCAACTTCTTGCCTGTAAATGTATTAGGGACAGGGATCAGTGTGTATCAACCAGTAATAAGAAGAATATTTACATTGTAATTACCTGGAATGTATCAGATTATCATTTGCTAGTTAACTGTAGTAAATGTATTATCACCTGGCATGGCTTCCGTTTTTCGAAAGTTCCGGTATCTTTTAGCGCCCCAAAAGCCGTGTTGTCGGTTTGCCGACACTATGAGTCAACGAAGCAAAAACTGAACAGTTTGTGAGTTAGGTACTGTGATACTATTCAACAGGTTTTGATTTCAAAGTTTGCTTTTGGGCCAGGAAAGTTACGGGACCCTTCGAGAAACGGCGCTTCTGGCCCCAGTTGTTCAAACGTTGGGTAGCGCTATCCACCAGATAAATCACCATCCGCTAGATAAGTATATATTAAGAAAACTTAAAATTCCTTTGTCCACTGGAAGGTTATTTATCCAGTGGATAGAATTATTCACCTTTTGAACAACCTGGGGCTTGAAGTAAGCTACCTCATTTATCTGCACCACATTTGCCTCGCAACTATCTACAGAATTTGTAGCCATTCTATATTATATCAGTCATGTACTACAGTATATTAAACTACTTTCTTTAAGAGTTGCATATTTCAGGCTGCCTAAGACAATGCCAAGACCTAACGTACTTACCTAAGGATTGTTTCCACGCATGTCTTACAGTACCTATGACCACACGCTATTGTTTGAACAGCTTCTCTAAGAAGACCCTCGCATTTAGGGCATAAATGTTTTTTATCGACTTTTGATCGGTCCGCAGAAGTTAACTCATATCCAAGCATTGTTCGGCTAAAAGAAGATGCAAAAAAAAAAAAACAAACAAACAATTCAAAAACAAAATTGCCTGCTGTAGTTACTGGGAAATGACATTCTTGGTCAAACACCTCGAACAACACGCAAATATTGGTCAAGTTTGAATATGTTGTAAAGGGTCGAACAGATCAACCATTTGCTGAGATAACATAACACCACCTTCATTTAAACCTCGGTAATCAAATAATCGAGTTATAACAGCAAGACAAACGTTATCTCTGTTTTTTTTTTTCTGTGAAGCCATGTTACCAGATCTAACTCGTTCCCAGTCGGCTTCATAATGTGCGCGGCACTGGAACAATCAGCACATCAAGATATGTAAGCATTGGAAGTGGAGCGCGAGGTTGCGCCTTCCCATCACCCCTTGCTTCCCACCTCACGCTCTTGTGCAGCGCACAATAGGGACCTGACGATCAGACAAAGGCGACGTTCATGACAACGTTGCTGAAAAATAGACTCCGCATCCTTTCAAACCATTTCTCGATTATCCCAAGTCGCCCGGTTACTTAAAAGAAGGGATTTTATGTTGGAGCTTAAGAGAAGCGGGGGGGTTGGCACACCCGAGTTCAGAAAGAGATGTTAGAATTTATTGCCTTCCTGTTCCCATCCTCCAAAAAACTTAAAATTTGGTCATTTCACGTCGACGTCGTGCAGGGACGGCAAAGAAAGGTCCAAAAATTCGTGATGTACGTGCAAAGTTGTTGTTTTGTTAACTAACCTTATTACTTTTTGAAGTTGCCGTTGCCGTTTCGGGAAAATAATACTGAAGCCCTTGTAATTTCGAAAATACTCAAAGTCCCCTAGGATGACCGAACAGATACAAATTTAATAGCGATGCTTAGAATGATATGTGTTTCTAGAGAGCTGGAAGTACTCTGGAGTTGTCTAAAACCTGTTTTCAACGTATTTAGGAGGAAATCATCGTTCGGTGCCCCTGTTGTAAGCTCTGGGATACATTTGCGTAAGGGAGTTTTAGGAGGCTTATAAACGGAGTGGCTTATAAACCGGAATACCTAGAAGGAACGCTTCGAAACAAGCTATAACAGTGCTGATCAAAATTCCTTTTTACATTTACTGGTTTTTAGCAGTCGGTTTAATTGTGCAGCTACACTACATTTGCATATAACCAATAACTTTTTTCTTTGCTGTCACGCTTGTCTGCTAATTCGTTGCATCGACGGATGCAATCAGTTATGTATATGGGTCCTACCGAATGAAGAATCCCAGCAAAGTTGCTACCACAGATGCAAAATAAATAAATGAAATGCTTGATGATAAATTTCGTCATGCAGCGTTGCGCAACATTCAGTGTATCGGCCAGTATGAACTTCCGGAAAAACCGGGATCGCTCCAATAGAACCGGACTTTCTAAACTTGATTTTTTATCATTCACAAAGAATAATGAGTTCTTATACCTAAAGAAACAATGAATTCCGATGTCAATAAATAAATGTACCAGTACCAATACGCTCTTACGCGTATTTTAAAGCTCCATGGCCTAACGTGATTACTTGCTGGAACCGGTCCTGAAATATATTTTTAAAATAATAAGTTCTACTTACTGTTACATGTAATGTTACGTTACCCTTCGTCTTAGCCTTGCGAGACTGTGCCACTGTTAGATTATTGCTTTTAAAAGCATGTTGTTATGTATTTTGTGCCTGATCTGGTAAAATTTCAAATTCAAATGAAGAATCTAAACGTAACAATGTTATATATAATTAAATATTAAGAGAGATCTAGCTGGTTTCAGCAAGCATGTGAGTTCGTGCTTGAGTTCTCGAAGCACTGAGAATGCCAGCCAACGGGAGGGAGAGGACATTGAGAACGTGCAGAAGGCCATTTTACAAGCGTGGTGGATGAGTTTAACAGAAATCTGCTTAGTAAAACAGTTAAACTTGATCTGGTAACAGGTATGAGTCAGATGAGTCTGTTCGACCAAATACTTTAATATGGCCGCTTTCAGCGCTTTCCCTATTTGCTTTCAGCGAGGACTTAGCACCGATATTAGTTAGTAAATGCGTAGTAACACATGATCAGTGTTGGAGATGGGGATAACATCAGTTTAATTAGTACGGCAGCTGCTGATAGGGGATTCCCCGAACCTCGGGTAAATAACCTAGAAAGTTCGAAATTGTGGCGGCTCCGGCTATGTTTTTAATAAACGTTGTGGGGTGGGAGAAATATATGCAAAAGATCGTGCACGGAAAACTACGTATAAGAAGAAAAGAAAACTGGGACAGCGTGAACTCACAAGGAGGTTTTGCATCGACCTTATGATTTTCTCGTAATTCGATTTCTTTCAAAATTGCTACATATAACTGCAGAATTCAAGGACAAGCAAGTGCTCATATGTAAAACTTACAACTGCATACAATTATTCCTTCTGGTTGCATAGCACCTAATCCAAGAAAGTAACGAATCTCCTTCTAGTAATCACTCGATCCATTCTTGTCGATCTAGTGTGGCATCTCGGTGCATCAACCTTTCTTCCATGACAGCAGCCCGGCAGTGACGAACACCGCCTTTCTTAAACCGGGGCATTGAGGGAGAACTTGGAAAAGCATGAGTGCACCGTCGACCTCAAGTCTATCAGTTGATTTACTGTCACGAGTTTTAGACGTAAAATATGGTTGTTTTGCGTTACTTTTACCTTAAACATTTGATCGTCTGGACAAGAGGTTTGTTAACAAATGCTTGAAGACGACTTCTTAAACACTGACCGTACCTTTCTCTTATTTTCCCTTGGCAGTTGTCCTCTTTATCTTGATTCACACGCTAGAGTTTCAGAACTTTTTAATTATAAGAGAGGACAAATGCTCACTTTTATTTATACCTTGCAATACCGGCTGAAAGCTTGATCAATCGCTTTCAAGGCTTGATCTTCATTACCGGTGCTATCGGAGTCTGTAACCATATTTAAGCTAAAAATTCTGGGACACTGCTTTATTTGGGCCGGTTTTACCGGTTGTAATTATTTAACCATCCCTGACGGCATGTCACACGGCACCTTTCTCGATCGGCAGATATCGCTTTATGCTTTATAAGGAAATAACGGCTGATGGCATTTGCACATGACCCACTCGACCATGCCAAGGTTTAGGTCAAGCTCACACAATCCATTTGATTGCTTTCACCGGTTTTATGGACCGGACGAAGCTGTATGAATCAAAAACGAATAAATGTAAAATGTAAATGTAAATATCATATTATCCACTCCCCTTAGGAGATTAAGGTGCAGTTTTCAAGTAATTAAGGAATGAGTGAGGATGCCCCCATACTTGAGTGTGAAAGTGAGATAGACCACTACACCGAGCACTACGTGCCCTACTCTTTTACGAAGAGTGTGTGGGTACTTTAACGTCCTACATATTTTATTACATGTGCCAGGGCTTGTGGGACGGGGCCTACGGTTTATCGTCCTTATCCGAGGAGACTAGAAAGTCTAACCGTTTGCAAATGTTATAACAAAGGCTGCACTTTCTCCTCAGTTATTTAAAGACCCTGAGTGTTGGTCCGGCCGGGGTTTGAACCGACGGCCTGCCGCTCAGCAGACCGGCGCCGCTTATCCCATTGAGCTAACCGGGCGGCGGTTAAGCTAACAGCAAGTAAGTCCAAGAAACTCAGATAGAAAAGTTTTGAAATAAAATCGTATCTTATTGTTATCTTGTTCTGTTCTTGCTATGTTTAGAAAAGAGCTTTGTTCAACAGGCTTTAACACAAGATCATAACCGGACGTGTGTTCAAACTTGTGAAGTACCGAGGATCGAAGTTTGTACCGCAAAATATCAAGTTATTTAAAAAGCTATAAAACGTTCTCTCAATTCTAAAACTCGTAGGCGTGAATTTATGCATGATTAAATCAAAGTAATTTCTTTTGAATTTCTTTACATCGAAAGAGCAAATTCAATCATCGTCACTGACATGACTCAACAGTTCAACTGCATTCAAATGCTATTGATAAGTGGAATGGGAAGGCGATAAAACAACCGGACCTTGTAGACACGCGTGCAAAACGTCTGCGCATGCGCAAGGTCTCTATTTTCAAAAATTAAAATTTGCAAAATCTTCCCCATTTAAATTGAAAAACACTTAGGAATGTTTGATATGTTTAATGGTTTGCAGCCGGTTCTATTATAAAGCACAACAAAGAATTACTTAAACTAACTTAACTAACTGGTAAAGACGTCCAGTACAAGGTTTTTCCGTCCTTGTTTTTCCACTTAGCATGCATTGGTCGTTTTCGTTGTTCGCATTGACCGAACTCAGCGACATGATGACCAAAACAGCAACAATGGCTACGGCGAAGTGCTGCCAGAGCGAGCGTGGACTTTCAAACATGATTTTCGCCCTTGGTGCAAGGAGGAAAGTATGTGGTGCAAAAGAGAGAAACTAAGGCAATTAATAAACTTTGTGTTCGTGAAATTCTAAGCTTATCTTTTGTGTGTGGAGCTTACTTTTTTGAATTTAGCGGCCGGAATCTAGTGTGTTTTGGTATCGCGTATAATTTCGATTGGGGGAGGCACATGCAAATTCGCGCCGGAAGCAGGGAAGGCACGCATGCGCACTGCGTTTTTCACGCGTGTCGACCTTGTATCATATCTGCTCCCTGATCAGCTGATATGGTCTTCACAGATTTGATTGATGGGTAGCCAGGCAACCATGTTCCAGAAATAGCGGCAGGGTTCTGGCCTAAAAAGCGGCAGTTGATAAAATTATGAGATATTTAACCGGCAGGATTGATTTTTTTTGTTTTTTTGTTTTGGTTTTGTTTTGTTTTTTTTCTCCCGCTCTAACTTTCGCGCAATAACTCGATTGGAAACGCGTGCTACGCAGTCTACCCGGTTCTTCAAAAAAATTCACCTGCACGGCGGTGTTGGTATAGCTCGCGTTGCAGCCGGACTTCTCACTCGAGACCCAGGTAGAGCACTTTAAATTAGTCCGTCGGGAGTTAGACTGGCTGAGACGC